TTTATATCATAATTTAGACTTTTAATTGTCGATGGAAGATTATTAAATAACTTCTACATCTGTATTTCTCTTAAATTTATTCATGTTTTCCACCACAAATGATAGCAAGCAGAGTATAAATTCACTTGCAAGTGGAAGTATATTAAATTTACGAAATAATTTTCTACAAGAAACCCTGCTTTTGACACCGGCCATTATTCTAATTATTTTCTTTTGCATGTAAAAATCTTTATTACTGTCTGTTGAATTTCCCCAAAAGATTAATCCATATGACACTACAGAGTGAAAGTAAGCAAAGTAAACTAGCTTTAAAGTACCTACTGTCATGAGTGGTATGACTGTTCTCATGGCAAAGCATGCAGAGCTTAATTTGGGAATAATATACTCAGTGTGTTTCTTCCAATTTAAGGTATTGTCAACTTGTAAGCCAAGGAATTTGTTTGTTTCAGCTTCCACAATTAATTTTTCTTCATAACCTGTAAGCAAAGTAAACTAGCTTTAAAGTACCTACTGTCATGAGTGGTATGACTGTTCTCATGGCAAAGCATGCAGAGCTTAATTTGGGAATAATATACTCAGTGTGTTTCTTCCAATTTAAGGTATTGTCAACTTGTAAGCCAAGGAATTTGTTTGTTTCAGCTTCCACAATTAATTTTTCTTCATAACCTATACTTAACCTAGGATATGTCTTGTGCTTAGTAACAAATTTTATGAAGTTTGTTTTTTCAAAATTTAGTGCCAGTTTGTTAGCTCTAAACCATTTGTTTATGTTGGCAAAGACATCATTCATGATATTTTCAAGACAGATCAATTCTTGGTGTGTAATAATGATACTTGTATCAGCAAAAAGAATGGGTTTGGATACAGAGTTTATAGTTGCTGGCAGGTCATTGATATATATGAGGAAAAGTAAGGGTCCAAGAACTGAACCTTGTGGCACTCTGTGATTTACGATACCCCATTCTGAATAGGTATTATGATTGGTATGGGGGCTTTTCATTTCTACTTTCTGCCTTCTATTATTTAGGTAGGATTTAAACCATTGTCCTGCTATACCTCGAATTCCATAAAATTTCAGTTTCATTAGTAATATTTCACGGTTTACACAATCAAATGCCTTGGCTAGGTCACAAGATATTCCACCCACATGCATTTTATTGTTAAGGGCACATACAATTTCATTAATGAAACTAAATAGAGCCCTTTCTGTTGAGAGATTTTTTCTAAATCCAAATTGTTCCTCGACAAGGATGTTGTTTGAGTGTAAGAAATTATTTACTCTCTTGCACCAGGCCTTCATTTACATAATGAGACATGTCATGTCACAATTAATATGTATTTAATACTGCAAAGGTGACAAACAGAAATGAGTGGGACATACAACAGGCATGGGAAACTAGAAATATACACAAAACTTTGGTTAGAAAACATTAATTGAAGAGATAAATTGGAAAATCTAAGCATGGGTGAAAGGATAATATAAAAGTGGATCTTAAAAAAATAAGATGAAAAGGTGTATGCTGCATTCAACTTGCCAATGGCAACATTTCATCTATTTTAAAGTAGAATGCCAGAACTAATTATTCTAGACAAGCCAACTAACCTGAAGAAGATGATCTTGATAGGCAGCAGTGGTCATTACCAATGGCTGGAAAAGCATCTGTATAAATGCTTCCATGGCTGTCCAGAACAATTCTGTTTTTCGAAGCTCAAATACCATACTCCAACAAATGGAAATCAGCTTCAATGTCTCACTGACCAGACATCTTGGAAGTATCTTCCCCAGAACATTCATCAAAGGTACCAACGCGCTCCTGCCTCCAATTTCAAGCGCACTGGCAATATCACTGACAATGTCCTCAACGCTCCTCAAGGATAAGACTAGATCCTCAGCTTTGTGGCAAGAATGCAGAAAGTCTGCTACAACTGACCAGCCTGCTTCCAGATATCCTGATATCATTCTTCCCCAGAGAGTCTGTAAATCTCGTGTCAGTTCCAGCTCTGTGTTCTGTTTTACAGGGGGAGAATTCAACCTCCTTTCACAAATGATATGGTGTATTACCAGTCCTTGTCTTTGTAAAATTACACAAGGCCCACTTGCATCACATGTGCAGTGACAGTGTTTTTGCAACCAGTGAGAAATCCATGACAGTACTTTCATACTAAAGTAATAGGACATGGGTGGGGCAGGTGCCACTAGTACCTGTAATGCTGTGTCTTGAAGTTTACTGAGGTGTGTTTTAGCCTGAAGCACAAAGTCCACTTCATCAGCAAATGAACTGAGTGCAAGAAGGTAGGAGTTCACCAGATGATAATCTTGCAAATGTATGGCTGACAGCATTCGTCTACTAATACAAATAAATATCTGATCCATCATTGAATTCACATAACTTATTATTGTTTTCCTAATCAAATCATCTCCACATGCTGTGTGGCTTTCATTTAGCAAACACACAACCAACTGTAGAGTGCGATTCTGTTCTGCTTCACTGGCATACAGTCTTTTATCACAGTTATGGAAACATGACAGTATTGAGTAAAGTAAGTTAGCCAGGGAGCATGTCTTGTCAATCATGCAACATGGCAGTAGTGCAGCATCACACAGCAGTATAACCATTCGAGCCACTCCCCTCATACTGAGACAAACCACATCATCTGGAGCTGAGAGTGTCATGGTAACAAACCTGGCAGCATCATCCTTACTGACAAACATCTGAATCCACTTCACAGTGTCCTGCCAAGCTGATGTCCCTCGCTTTAGTGACTCACTGCTTCTAAAGCTCCCTAGATAATCTGCAACAGTGTAAACATCAAGCGAGTCGTGGTCTGCTAAATGGATGGTTGCATTTAGGAGCATACATTGTACTGCCCCACGAATGAATATGTATTGACACCCAAGTGCTTCAGAGACAAAGTCTTTCAGAATTCCAAGGCTCTGCTTGTTCCACACTGGAATGCTACGTGTATGTGCTAGTGCATACATTACATTGAACAAGGGTACAGGTGCCCATGAAATTGAGTTCATCACATCCAACACATGACAGAAGAATGCACGACAGTCTCCATAAGAAGATTCTGTAATGACAGACTCAAATAAATCTTTCAGTGCTTCTCCTACTTCAGACAGAGAGCTATGTTCTGTATTCCCACTGTATAAGGCAGAGTTACTCACACCATTCATAAATGGGCGAACAAATTCAAGTATCACATATCCATTTCTTGAAAGATGTAACTCTCTGTGAATGCGAACAAAATTTATAATTCCCCACTTAACAATAGAACTGTTATAATGACTTATAATTCTACAGAATACACATAAAATCCATGACACATGCAGAATATTACTTTTATTGTATGATGCACACAGAAAGTCAACCACTGGCAAAACTGGCTTGATTATGTGGACTTGCTTTTCCTCCAAAGTTTCTATAATAAGAAAGAACTGCTCCCAGACCTCACTAGAGTCTGTAGAGTCCCACCAGAAAACTGCATCAGGACAGTTAAGAGAGACAGAAGTATTGTTCTGACAAAGACTAACTACAGCTCTTTTCATGAGGTACAGAGCCCGCTTCCTGACCAGTGGGTCAGCACTTCTTAGTCCAATTTGTAACATCTTCCAGAACATATTCTCCTTTGTCACACTGTAACTCATATGAACATTCTGCAAATCACTGGGCAGATAAAATTGTATCAGGATGCACAGAATTTGGAATGTATGTGATAGATCACTATCAACGTTTGTTGTTATATGTCTCCATAGTTTCTGCAGCAAAGTGTTGTCTGTGGTACACATGATTACCTTTGGGATAACAGACTGCAAAGTCTGAATTGCAATATGTTCCACACCACAACAGACAATGGTTAAAATCAAATTATACACATCATCATTTCTTAAGATAATACTGTCTGTTTCATATTGATTCAATGCACTGCTGTCATGTTTATGCAGCACTGCAGCACAAACAGTTTCTAAAATTCTTAAACTTACTTCTGGTCTGCTTGAACAAGCATATTTACTTTCTTCAATGTCTGCATTATTCACAAACAACGTCAAATCCTTTTGACACTTAATCACAACATTTGTAACACAACTGTAGAGGGAGTCCTTCCCCATTAACAGCAATGTCTGCTGAAGAACATCACAAAGGCAATTAAAACACTGACCTTTAATATCACTGTTGCGATCTATTAATAATGAACACAAATTAAAAATGTGTTTACAATCCAGTAAACTATCCTCTGCAGCAGTGCCATCCCTCAATTTATTTTTCAATTTCAAAACAGAGGTCAGTATATTCAATGTCTTAATGTCCGGACTTGTCTCTACAGTTAAGCTGGAAACCAATCCCAAAATAATACGATTAACATTATCTTCTAGCTTGTCGTCCCCAAGAAGATTTAAAACACTGATCAGTTCTGATGTTGAAGATTCAGAAGCTCCTGTCAAAATACTGGTCATTGCTATAATCTATGTAATTTCTGTTAAATTTTACATCAAAACTTTCATAAAAATATGCTATACATCCAACACATAGAGATGTGCAATCTGCGCGATCGGCGATTACCACGTGCTTTGACCTGATGTCTGCCCTTGCGTACGACCACCAGCAACATGGCCTTACACCGTCGTCCCGTATCACGGACCACATGTTGTTACCAACACAAAACACCGTGTATGCAAATTAGATGTCTAAATGCACCTTGCTGTGTGATCACCAACTTGATGGATAGACGAGCACAGTGAAGCAAGACCGTGGTGGTCTCAGATTGTACCATTGTGTAGGTTATGTACAATTGTGTTGTTGCCACTTACAATCACCAAAGCCCGTTTGATAAATATTACGCACAGATAGAACATGTGCCTAACGCCGCATAGTGCACAAACACAAGTCGACCAATACTCGTGGTAACCCTGGTCGTTGTTCCGTCTAATCTCTCTTTTATACCACAGAAAATAAACGCAGTCTACCCGAATTGCATTTTCCTATATTTTTTAAAATGAAAGCCGTCGTACAGAGAGTAATAAAAGCAAATGTAACAGGTAAGACATTAAAGTACGAAAGTGTACTTTCTTTGAACTTTAACGCCTCTATGAGGAATTGTAATTACTTTTTACTTGCAGTCGAAGGTGAAGTTATTAGTTCCATTGGTAAAGGACTTTGTGTTTTAATTGGAATATCGAAAGATGACACCAAAAAGGATATGGAATACATGTAAGTATATCAATATCAATATCAATGCCACAGACGGTGACTTTTCTACACGCGAAAACAAGCCCAGTGAAATAATTAATATTCATTTGACGGAACATGTTGGCATCTTTAACGCACTCTATGCCAAGTACCAACCTGTGCATCAGTAAATAATTTTGATAGAAGGAACATGCAACAGCCCCGTTATTATATATAGGTCACACACTATTGAACTGCAACATATAATTATGAACTACTAATTTATCTGTTAGCCTGTAAAAGTTTTATAAGATAGAAAACCAGTCGTTTTTACGTTTGACTTCGTTTCAATTTTATACTGATAATCCTGATGATGGAGGCAGCAAGACCTTAATTAACATTTTCCTATGAGAACCAAGAACCTCAAAGGAAATAAGGTTTTCTGAAGAGGGCTGGAAATCTGTCATGCCTTGGAATTTATTCCAAAATATATATTATAATACAGATTGCCCATAGTTGAACAAATACTTTAAAAATACAGGTGGTCTCACTTAACATGGGACCCACAATAGCAGCTAGTAAACTGCTGGGAGATAAGCATCACAATGCAGAACAAAGCCATCATATGGTAGTAGGTGGATTTCATATTATGCAGGACTCTGTTTCATACAGGTATTATAAAATATCCTCAGCATTGTTTTAGTTTGTTAAATGAGAGCAGTTGCAAGCTATTTGTTAAAAGAAAATTCCCATTCTTTTGGTCAGAAAAACTGGCCATGCAGCAGCCAGCAATTCTTGTGTTCATTAATTGCTATGTATGTGTGTATATGGGTAGAATTCCTTTTAAAGTATAAATTGCTTTAATGAAAATAAGACTTATTTATAAATTATGTTAGTATCTTACACAAAATTATAATTCTTGGTTTTTAATACAAACCTTTTATTGTTTCATTGAATGCATGTGAAAAGGAAGCATTAATCAAAGAAATGGTTATGAAAAATAAGACTTACAAAGTATTTGCATATGAAGAATTATTTTTCAAAATATGAACTGGTGTATTAAAAGGATATAAAACTGACTGTGGTTGAGATCAAATACTCATTACTTACTAGAGTACTTCTCAAATTGTCAGGTCCAAGGACTTGATTATGACTAGCAGGTAGGTCAGAATTAACTGTATTAGGTACATCACCATTATCACAAGAGCCCTAAACCATTCCACATCTGCGTGTCCTAATTTTCATTTTAATGTTATGCTCTTATGCAGGTCTCTATAAGATTTTTTTAAATGGTGTTCAATGAATTTATTTCCCCATGCCACATTATCTCACCATCCCATCTGAGACGTAGAAAAATACATCCATGTTATGATTTGTATAATTTTCAGAGCACGTAAACTTCTCAGCATACGACTTTTTGAAAATGACCAAGGAAAAAAGTGGCACTTAAGTGTGAAAGACAAAGGATATGAGATTCTCTGCATAAGCCAGTTCACACTCTATCATGTTTTGAAGGGCAACAAATTGGACTTTCATAATGCAATGGCAGCAGAGAAGTCTGAAGCTTACTATAAAGAATTTCTGGACCTCATAAGGGTCCAGTATCAAGCAGATCTCATTAAAGGTTAGTATGCTATCACCATAGACCCATTCTGTAAACTGTGATTATGGCCTTAGCACTAAAAATTGTTTTTATGGTATGTGGAACAGCATTCCTTTCAGATGCCTGCAGTTTGCTGTTGTCTCAACTTGAATAATGCAAAATAACCATTCCTTTTATGAAAGTGAGGGGGAAATGAGGGGTTACAATTCGGATACGGTCAGGAGGGGGTTAGAATCCAATTATATTGTTGCATCTTGAAAGCCAAAATAAGTCCGAGTAGCTGCTTGGTAGCTGGTAAGTGGCAACAGTCTGGTCACTATGGATGGATGTGCTAACCACTGTTTTCTGTAGCACTACTGTTTAAAGCTGTAATATTAGACTGCTTCTGTTTATCACCTTACAATCAATGTGAAGTACCACCAGTTGTTATGAGAAAATAAGTAGACAACTCCAGCAGTAGAGTTATACCAGACAAGCTTTATGTGCCTACATTTCCCCAGCTTTCCCATGAGAAAAAATAATTAAACTAAAGATTTCACCAGTTACAATATTTATACTATACAAAAGTAGAAAGAAAAGCTATATGAACATCTAATACTATGAAGGATGACAAAATAAACAGTAAGTGAATGAGCAAATTGGGACATCTGATGCACAGCCAGTAAAGGTCCTACCATATTTTCATGTCCCTGAATTTACCCATCTGCATTCACTTTAAAAAAAAAAAAAAATAATAATATTATTAGGCCCAGTGATCCTCCTGCATGTTCTAGAAAGTGAGAGATTATTTTTCATGCTGAGCTTATGGAATGTACAGTTTAAAAAATAAGTGACTTCTTTCTTTCTCAGATAAGGCAGGGCAATAAATGTTGCTACCAACTTGTTCCATTCATTTCTCTTCAAAACATGTTGCTACCATCTTTTTCACACTACACCACACAGTAATTTCTGATGTTTCAGACGGTAAGTTTGGAGAGTACATGCAGGTGAACATTCAGAACGATGGTCCAGTTACAATTGAGTTGCAGTCTCCGCAACAGAAGAAGAATGTTAGTGACCTTCAATCTGATGATGTTTAATTTCAGTGTAAAATATGCAAAACCTTGTATAAGTAATAAATGATCTTGTTTATTATATGCTTCCTTGATGAATTTACTTTCACAATACAGAAGATTGGTCTTTATAAGCACCTATATATCTTTATGTGTATGCTACATATATTCAAAGCAATTGGAAGGGGCAGAACATCAAACAGTTATATCCATTTCCACAGCCTATACCACGTTTGTTTCCATCTAAAGGATAAGTATGGAACTTCCTGGTCTTTGTGACAAATGCTGAAAGCTTTTGTGTTCACTACCTTACTTTTCTGTCCATCCAACCAATACAAAGCCTTTGGTTTCATGTCACTAAGGTTTAATTGCCAAACTGAACCCAATTTACAGAGATACATGCCACAACTTACAGTATTCACAATTTCAATAATATATTCTGCTCAGGTCACACAAACACAACTCCCCCCCCTCCCATAATCTTATATACTTATGTCAATATTTTCTAATGTGGCGCTTCAGTTGGCCAATAAAATAACCCATTTTTGTAACAGTGATTATCATGAGAACAAGGGCATGTCAGTTGATAATGATGCTTTGATAATCACAGTGACTGCACCCCCCCCCCAAAAAAAAAACATTTACACATGACAATCAAAAGTTGTAAAATTCAGTGAGGGATCTTGACTATTGAATACACCAACAAACTGCAAAAACACTTTTTCAAACACCAGGGGGGAAATATTCGTTGTCTTTCATCGAGGTGTAACAATTTAGCTGCCAGCCAGGTGTATATTGTCGCAGGGGCTAAGTACTGAACTATGGGGCACATCAAGCAGACACCAGTCTACAATAGCACATTGTTCACTGTAGAGATCTGTAAAAATGTTGCATAATGTTTTATTATACTGAGACTCTTCCCCAAAAAGTGGATCCCAAGGTTACTAGAACCTTCATGGACTCATAATTCTAATCTAAAGAAAGCAGAAAACTCACTTAATGATACAAAGTATTTTAAATAGTACACATACAAAAAACATCTTAAGAAAATAGTTGTGAAAAAATTACCAAAAATTATTTTGTATTTGTGTGTGTGTGATGCAGTGACAAGTGAAACCTACTTGTAGAAAACCCATCCCCAAGGTCAAGCAAGTGTATGATATTTTTACAAACTGTGTAACACCACCAGCAATGGGTCACAACTTATGGCAACTCTTTGTTGGTGGTAATGAGCTTTCCTTTTTTTGAGTATTTTTATCTCGAGGTGTCACATTACAAAACGAAATGGCAGCAGAATTATTGAGTGTTGCTTCAGTATTGAGCTGATTAGGCCTTGGAAGATCTTCCAGCAGCAACACTCGCCACACAACTCTGTGTCCGTCCATGAGAAATTAATGGTCCAATAACTGTAACACTGTTTCACCACAAAGGGAAGGGGCAGATTTACTCTTCGACAGCAGCCTGGACCACCGGTGACTGAGCTGATTCATTGGGTGCCTGCAGAACACACATACAGTACCCATTAACTAATGGAATAATTCTGTAGATGAACCTTAAGCCATAAACAATTAGTTAAGAGACTAATATAGCACTGAATGATTGAATGGTTAAAATAAAAAGTGTGCTGTTTTCTCTTCATTTATGGGTTTGTCATAATGGCTATGGGATTAAAATCAGAGAAAGTGACAATGTAAGTGAATACTTTAAAAGAAGACAACTCCATTCATATGCAACAACCCATAATTACTCACCTGAACTGATTCTTGTGTTTCTGGCATCTTGACATCAGAGGTCTGAACTGGTTCTGTCTCAACCTGCAACAAAGCATAACATTCTCAAACTCTCCTAATTCACAGGGCTGATGTGTTATTGTTTTTTCTCATCAACCTCTCAAACATCAAGGTTGATGCAGATTTATAAAATGCAAACTATAAATGACAAGAGGCAAACCTGAGCATAAGAAAGGTAATGTTTTGTATATTCAAATGATTTTTTCTTCTTTAAGTCACTTCCACACTTGTGGGTAAACTGTTGTATATTCATGGTACTCCATGAAAACCAAGCATAATGCTTGATTAATCCACACATAAATTACCATCTGCTAAATGAAATACAGGTAGCCCTCGATTTGCACCAATTCAGAAGAACACTGATTTTGAAACCAGCAAGTCAAAAAGTGAAAAAAAATTTCACTATTATTTATAACTTTTACAATGTATCTCATACTGCTTCTTATACTAAATTGTAATTCTTGATTTTGAATAAAAGTTATAAATACAGTCATCTCTGCAATTACGTGCGTCTCGTTAACGTGGATTTGCTCCAATGAGATCGATGAATCGGTAAAATCTGTTTGTTAAATGCAAACTTTTGTATATGCGAGTTTGCTCTTATGCAATTTCCTTCCTGGCGCTTTAAACTTTCAAAGGACTAATTTAATGGTGAAATTTTGAAAGAAAGAAAAAAAGAAATCACGACAGTCCCCATTACATGCCTTCTTTGAAAAACATGACGATCCTCAACCAGTGACTTCGTCAGCCATCGCCAATAGTAAGTGTATAAAATATATTTTTTAAATTCCCTTTATTTTAGTTATGTTATTTCAGAGCTTTAAATTTAATATCATTATATTACTCATCAATATTTTGGTGCTGGGAACGCATGTCATTGACTTCCCATTGATTTACATTATAAAATCGTCCCAATTTATGCCGGTTCCTCCTGGAACACATCCTCGGCATAAATCGAGGGCTACCTGTAATAGGAAAATAATGTAGAAGAGAAAATAAAATGTGAGTAGTGAATCAACATAGCTAATTCACAGGATACCAAATTGAAGCTGTACAAAAGGAAGACCAAAAACAGTGATTAGATGCAATCATAATCAATAGATTTGAAGTAAGACACAAGAATGACTGATAGTCATGGAGTTCCCATCTGGGGAATGTGGAAAAGGCCTTGAAGATGATGAAAAATATGAAGCTGATTGGGTTAAATCACCATGGCATTCCTATGAAGATGAGTGGTTTGGGTTCATTACCTGAGCAGGGATCTCTGTGGGAGCTGGCACCTGCTCCTCTGCCTGGGACACCAGTGGTATTGGTTCTACAACTTCAATTTTCTCAATTGGTGCTGGTACTTCCACTGGTTTTGGTACATCAACATCCTCTGTCTTAGGTTCCTCAACACAAGTTGGTGTCACTGGTTGGTCTATTTTGGCTACAACGTCTTCCTCTACTTTTGGTGTAGGGACAGGAGATGCAGGCTGAACAGCTATGCCTGGGACACCAATCATATCCTTTGGTTCTGTTGGTGAGCTTTCCACTTGTGCTACGACCTCTGCGACTTTCTGAGGTTCTGTGATGGATGCAGCCTCAATTTCTGTGGGTGGTGGACTGGCAGGCAGGGGTGGAGGGACTTCTTCGTATGTTGCCGGTGGCGATGGTGCCGCTGCTTCTGGCTCGGATTTGCTGGCAGATGTCTGTTGCTAAAATGAAAATAAAAGTGCTGCAGACTTGTCAAACTAAACCCGTCATTCTCCGATGTCGAGACAAACCAATACACCACATTCCAGCAATGTATAATGCTACAGCTTCATTTATATCTGATATCCTAACAAACTTTGGTCTAAAGCCTTGGATCTGACCATCACAAATATGTCAGACTGAATTTCTGATATTATAATCAGCCAAATGACCATCCTCCTGATACCTGTTGGTACCTAAAGATTGTTGGCCCTACCTCATCAAAGGTACTTTAACTTTCATTCAGCACACATACCTCTTTGCACGATTTCTCAACTTGTGCAGGTGGAACCTCTACAGCAGCAGGCTCCTCAGTCTTTGCCTCAACTTCCGCAGCTATGACTTCCTCCTTTTTCTCAGTAACTTCACTGTCCTTTGCTGCATCACTTCCTGCTTCCTGCTGTGTCAAGAAAACAAAATTTAAATCACAGATGCCAGAAATGCATCAGCTTGGGTTTTACATCACTACCACATATTATAGCCCATTCAACAATGCCGCCAGTATCTCAGAGCTGAATGATAACGATGACTAATAAATGAACTGGAAAGAATATTGAAGGGAGTGGCTGAAGTCTATTTTAAGGTTATCTTTACCTCCTGAGAAGTTCTTGGAGGACCTAAGGAAAAACCCCTAAAACCTCAGAATAGCCTGTCTGTGGGCTGAGATTTGAACCTGAGACCTCCTGAATATGAAGTGCTACTGCAGGAAATTTTAAGCTCCAAGCTAAAAATTAGTGTTAAAAGTGCCATCACATTCACTCTTACTTTGTGAAATGCATGACAAATCTACCAGCACCGTATATATGCACATGGTACACAGATTGATAGAAGAAATATATTATCTTTCCTGATAACATGGTGTTATGACTAGTGGGATATCTGTTTTTATGAATGAACACAATGGAACCTGCAAATCTGGTACTACAAACCTGAGCGATCAATGCTGTCTCATCTATGGCCACGGCTTCTGATGCCTCGATCTTCTCCTCATTAACCTGAAAACATAACAACATTGCCATGCAGATAAACTTCCTTACAGCGGAATATGAATGGCAGGATGCATCGTGGGCAGTAAAACCATTACATATGATGTGGTGGCATTACAACTATTACCCATAAACTGAAGATTTCACCAAGCATTTATCCCAAATGGCAGCATGCGAAAATTTCGATTTTATTAGTTTTATCACCATGATCCATTCCGGTAGGATTCGAGGTCCTCTGATGATGGATGCAGCAAATACCACTGAAGCTCCAGAAAAATTCTACTAGACTATACCGCGCTACAACCCAGAAAACAGCCATCTGCTGATCCATTGTGGTTTCATGCAAAACATGTCATTCATATGCTGAATCAAAGCAGTGAAAAGGACCATGTTTCAAGATTCTCCAGTACTTTGGAATCTGCCACAAGGAATTCTGAACTGGATTCCTCACCTTACAAGCACTACATATAAATATTAAAATTCTAGTAGTCTTCATTTTTAGCCCCCACCCCACCCAAGTAGTAAACACAAGAGGCAATCATGCATTATCGCAGAACATATTGCTTGAAATTTCATGGCCGACTGAGCGGCTGCTGCCACTGGTCAGAATGTGCCCTACAACGATATAAACAGAAGTGGCTGTGGGTTTGATTTTGGTTCCTGTGCTTGTTTAACAGCACTCTTTTACCAAAATTTTAGGGAAGACTAAATCTCAGATTAGTTGAGCAGGGAATAACAAGCATGATTAAATACATTCATACGAAATTGAGGCTGGGGGGAAAAAATATACTGCTTGGGAAACCCATACACTGATTGGGGATATATTAAATTGGGGTAACATGGTTAGCTTTTGTGATTAGGGTTATAACTTCCAAGTGTATTAAAACGGCATTTCTTGAATATCAACTATCCAAGAAAAAACATACAAGTCACATTCACGTCAAATGCACACAATGGGGATAGTGAACTGTTGTTGCGTGAACTCTGGCCACCCCTGCACTTCCCCTCAATCTATGATCAACACTTACGTAATATTCCAGTGAAAACATCCAGTTTCTTTAGTCTGGGTCTCCCCAGCATCAGACGTTTATGTGTCCTTAAAACGACTGCTGTTGGATTGAAAAGGCCTAGAACAGGGGTGGGGAACCTGTGGCCTTCTAGGTCCTTAAGTGCGGCCTTTTGACTGAATCCAAATTTTACAGAACAAATCCTTTCATTTTTATTAATACATTTTCAAGACGCCCTTAAGGTCACAAATAACGGATACCCATCTAGAGGATCAACTGAAACTGCGGACCTCCATGCTGCAACCAAGCATTCAAATGCTTTCTAACAAAAAGTGATAGTGGAACCACGGTTCCGGAGAATTAGACGTAAATACGTCTATACGGAAAGGAAGTTTATATATTGGCTTTATTCTAAACATTTCCTTTATACCCGCTTTACAATGAGTAAAGTTTGGTTAAGACTTTGCTTATTTAACTTGAATTAGTTACGCTTAAGATGGGTCTGTGGTCGCTGAATGTAAGGTAGGGTAATGTAATGTTTTATAGGTAATAACAATGCCGAGTAAACACGACGTTCCCTAAGTAACCAGGTTACACTTTTTCGTTCCACTTTTTTGCCGAACGACCCTTCCTTATAGACGTATTTACGTCAAAAGCAGACACAACAAAGTCATTAAAAGATTAGTTAACTTTAAAATTAACAAATAGTTTTCATTTTCTGAAATTATTTAGTACATAGTAGTTAGATTTTTGCAAAATTATGTACATTTTTAAGTATATCTAATTGAAGTTCCTTGAATGCGGCCTTATTTGATTACAGCTAAATTAATGCGGCCTTCCAACATGAAAAGGTTCCCCACCCCTGGCCTAGAATTTGTAACCAACGTTGACAAGTGTTGAAAGAGTCCCCTGTTTCAGCACAGGCTTGGACATGAACTTGGTGCAAGAAGTGAACACAAGTGGGCGGTTATTTTGTCTGTCCGACCAAACATAATGGCGCATATGATCTTGGGTAATGGGTTCGAGCTCCACTGGAAGCGTACGCGTGTTTGTAGAAACTTGCGATGGACCTATCTTACAGCTAACCCGAACTAACGAAATTTACTAATTAAATTAAAAAGAAGCAATTAACTGAAAACTGTTGGCAAGGATTGATAAATGAAGGAAGAAAGGAAGCCACATACACATTCAGGCTGGCACGGTCTTCACTAAACAAGCAGCCCGCAGTTCAAAGGTACCAGAGGCATATCATCGAGACGTCGGGGCAGCTGTTCATTAAACAACAGAAGATAGGACACCCTTACAAGGCTTTGAGCAAACACATGGCCGATATGACGCTGAGAAACTACTACTGCAGGTACAGCAATAGCTTTATTACGTGTAGCAGTACAATGCAAGTTGATGCACATTGCAGATTATAGATTGCAATGCACGGGCAGTTTGAACATGTTCTGAGTGGCGAATCATCCGTGGTGTATCCATGAATCATCAGTGGCGTAGTGCAGCTGTGCTATGAACTGAGACCCAACAAGCGAACCAAAAATCAACGTCGAAGCTGGTGAAACTGTGCGGTCAACAACGATATTGATAGACAGCACTAACGCTACCGAAAGATTTGTTAAGTAAAGCTGTCTTGTTCGTCCCTACAGCCACACTTTTCAAAATAAACTTAAATTGCAATGGCGTTCATTACGTTTGCGTGTGATAGTTACCCACTAATGTACACTGAGTGTAAAGCGTAGGATGATAACATTTTATTGTTTGCTTGCTTTAAATGATTTTAGACTGGGTGAATTTTTTTTAAAATATAAAATCGCTGCCGGACTGAAACTGAATACACTAACGATTCACCCAAAGAGAACAAAGTCGCAGAGTTAATCACAAAGAAGCAAGACGACTGGTCAAAACAGTTATGCAAGAAGCATTTGTAAGCAAAGAACATGACGAGAGTACAAAATTGCTTTCTTAATGAATGAACTATGTCAAATATGTCGAGTATGGGGGACTCACTCGGAGGGGTCCTAATAAGGTTGGGTTTTTTTTTGTTTCGGCGTTTTAGTGATGCAATTACGTTGTTTTCTGAGAAGCTCGTTGCCCTTGAACCGGGCTCAATATGTAGAAGATATAGCAGTTTCTGATCGTATCGTCTTGGTTAGGATGAACGAAAACACAAGAGCTATCCGTACAATTTAAGAAGAAATACCCCATCTAAATGAAATCTCGAAACCCATACGTATCTTCATAAGTTTCACCAACAATTCAACATATAATTTTTCGGAACTTTTACTTTCAACGTAATTACCTATACAAAGAAGTTATTTGAATCTAAATACTTCTACACAATAAAATCATCATCAGCCGTCATTCTCTTTAGCAACAAACACTTTCCGATACCACAATGACACAGAAAAATATCCTCTGAACTATCTTTCGTGGTGCTAGACTGTGTGCGGAGCTACTTAAGCAGATAGCAAGCAAACTAAAGAGAGAGAAAAGCAAAGCAAAATGTAAAAATTTCATCCTAATGAATAAGTTGCCAACTGACAAAACAGAATCGTTTGAAAAGAAAATGTTTAGACTAAACGTGGTTACCACAAATTTCATGACGACATACAATTATTGCGCCATTTTAGGATACTGCAAACCACCAGCAACAAACATACTGACGTACGGTACACACGTAACATGGAACTGTAAATGTTACACAAACTGGGAACATATCGAGCGGGTAGCACTGCAAACTAGCTATCTGCTGTGCTTGTTCACGAACACTTGATCCCAGACGCATAACAATAAATCAACCCTTGTTTTTAACACAACGCACCCAGACCTGACTCATTCCATATCATTAATTACAGAGGGACAGTTATATCCACGAATCAGGTGACGCGTCTTACTGTCTATGATGCATAGACACAGTCGAAATTTACAATTTATTCCGTTCTCAGACACGGTTCTTTTATGGAATGTGCAAAACTCATGGTTTACTTATATTATTATAATAGTTAACAATGATAAAATGACTGACAAATAAACAAAGTCAAATCTATGAAGATGGACTCTTATATGTATCTAAGAGGGGCAAACACAAATGCATATACAACGCTGGTTGAAGAAAGACAGTGGCTTGAGATGCGAGGATATTAAAAGGAATCGCACCCATACACCAGTTAAACCGAAGTTAATCAGTCTTTTGTTTGGCACAGTTCGGGTCTCACAGTCATGTGAATGCATCACAATGGAGTCGCCATTAGCTTTATATAGTTGACCTCAAGCAAGGGCAGTACAGATAATACCAACAAATTCCTCTGACTCCTTTTTTATCCCAGAGAAAACTGTGATAATCACATTGAGCAATTTAGTAATTGACTTCAATGCATGACAATTATTACAGCAGCAGGAGCCACCCGTTTGATAGGAAATGCAGAGTTCGGCAGTGTACAGTCTGAAACGAAACAAAATGCACAACCACGGCCGAGCTGAACAGACGAAAGCAGCTTCTACAATACAAAAAGGCGTATACATGGACACATACTTTTCAGGCGCGCTGATCTACCATCCATTTATAGCAGCGTCCATGTCGTAGCGGTGTCCCTACTCCTTCAATGCCTACACAGCACTCTTACGTGTTGTATCATTTTCACAAACGAGACTCTTATGACAAACAATACGGGACAATCCATGTGGTGTGGAGGTAACTGGTGTCAAAACTCAGATACTACGGACTAAGTACGGCTTTTAAGCTGTAATTTGTCAACATACTGATAGTCGTGACTAACTAGTGCATTCAGTCGATTTTAACACTTCAGGCCCACAGAACGAGGAAACTATTTCTAAACATTTGAATATGTTATGCGTGACCAGGTCCCAGGGTAATGCCAAGGCAGATTTCAAAACTATTGACCAGGTCCCGAGAAGGTGCCAATTTCTAACAAACTGCCAAAGATACGGTACTCAAAACTATCTTTATTGTTTATTTTAATATTGTAGTGCCGCCCCATC